TTCTTATTTAAGGACATTTTGAACTATCAATATATGTTTGTATATTATTTATTAATTTAGTTTTTTTTGGTACCGTCATGAAATTTGTAAATGTAAAATAACTTTGTATATTAAATATTTTTTTTTTTTGATTTTTGTAAATTATACTTGTTGATAATTTTAATAAAAATACAAAGTTATAAAAAAAAATTTATTCTTTCCGAGCAATTTTTTTTTTTCATTTTTGTACGTATGACTCAGAACCAACAAAAAAAAAAATTAAATTAAAATAAAAAAAATAGTAGGTAAGTAAAGAAGGCTCGATGACCATCAACCATTACGACAGAAACTTTAGAATGACCCATTTAAATTTTTGACCATGGTCAAGAATTCCGATGCAGAATAAGTTTCAACATTTCATTTCTCATGCCTTTAATGAAGGTAATGCCAATAAAGAGATTGCCAAATATGTTCATTCCTTATCATAAGAAATGAAGAAAATGAAGTCTTCAACAAAAAATTTTACCTTTTTCTTTTATAAAATGCGTTTGGTTAATTAAATTACGTGATGCATATTTTTAAACTATTATATTCTTTTTCAAAAATTCAATTTTTTATTTGATTACCCATAAGTCACGATTTTTGATGATTTTCCCTTTAGTCGAATAACTTATTGAAATTTTCGTGTCAAAAGTCTTCAATAAATTTAATCCATTTTAGCGTTGTCCTTTTGAAAGAATCTGTGGATTCAGATTCATATTGCATTACAAGTCTCTTTTTGAACCCGCAAAGAAAAATTTTAGTGTAAAAATATTAATTTTATGGGTAAAGAAAATTTTCTTTATATTTCGTAGCAATGACCTCAATTGACATATTTTTATTATAATTTTAAGTCAAGGTCATTTGAAAAAAAAAAAAAAAAATAGTAAATGACTTCCTAGGTGCATATGGATCAACCGACGACATCAACCATTCAACACCTTCTAACCATCCGAACGATAATTCAATCTGCTCTTTGACATGATGATCCTTAAAAATTGACGCGAAAAAGTATCGAGTAGTTGAATAATAAAGGCATTGTAAAAATTTTTATCTTTGATTAATTGGTAAATTTGTTAATTTAGATTCGTAATGTTCATTGCTTTTAACTTTTTATGAATGAAGTTTATAAAATTTAAATAATATTTCAAGGAAACTATCTTGTAACTATAAGTTCAAATTCCAAGCTCCCGTTCCTATTATGTTCACTACACGTCAACCGGGTCACCTTTTAAATTTAACCAATAAAAATTTTATATGTAAAAGATTTATCACGTGACTTCGTAAAATAATTTTGTTAATACTGTTGTATTAACGATAAAAATTATGAAAGTTATCACCATTAATTACTCCAACCCCGGGTCCCCGGGTCAATTTTAAATTTTAATACGTTGAACCGAAAATGCTAATTTGCGTGGCCTTAACTGTCCCAATTTTGTCCCGTAACAACCTATTTACTTGTTATTAAACTAGAAATATACACAATCACTTTCCACAATGTGAATAAACCTTAACATTCTTCCCCTCCATAATTGAATATAGGATTATTTCCTACCCCAAAAATGGGTAAATAATTTAAAGTTCATTTAATTTTTTCTAAATGTCATTTTCTCCAAATTCCGAGCGAGGTTCAAATAAGGTATATTATTGAGGATATCGCCTATTATTAATTCATTTGAAGTATATTGAGTTGTATAGATAAAATTGGGACGAGGGTTTCTTTTGAGAAAATATAAAAAAAATAAGCCTATTTTAAGTCCTTCATTGATATCTGCTATTCAAATTATTACGATTGATTTGAATATTGAAAATTTCTATGGTAAAGGAATGTATTATATAAAAATAAATATTTTAATTTATTGTTACTTTCTTGCATCCCTTCTTTAGTTAGTAGTGAAAATAAAAATACTTAAAATTGAACATTTATAAGTTTTTACTTGTATAAAAGATGCACGTTAGGTAAGTTGACAAAACTTGCAAAATCTAAAATCAAAAAATATATATATGTTTCTCGTTTTCAATTCACTGAGACGCGATAGATTATTGCTTCAAAATTCTTTAGTCGACAGAACATTGCGTATAATTTTGATATCGTCCGCTATAAGTGTAATAACGGGTACCCACTGCGATTACTAGTGCAGTGGTCGTAGCAGTGAAGACATTATCTTAATTTAAAGAGAAGTTCATCCAATAAGTTAATGACGATTTATTAATTTCGTAAATTTAGAAGAGATAATTTACATTCAAGTTATTTTGAATTTATTTATACATATATATTATTGAAATTCGCTGAACAACTTTAAATGACAAATTTTTGTAATCACAGCAAACATGGTGTTTTAACTTGATTTTCTTTTTTTTTATAAAGTTTTACATAATTATGCTTGCTAATAATAAAAGAAAGCATTATTATACATTATGGACAGTAAAGACTTTTACTTGATTTGATTATTAAATCTAGTAACAAAAAAAAAAAAAATCTCCTTGTAATGTTATTCACCGATGAATGTATTAATTAGCGAGTTTTTCTAATCCAACTTTTCATTAAGAATTTGGTGTTACATGATACTTCGTCTGATGTCATTTGCGTATTAAACCAAATTCACCCACGTGATTAGTAATTTTGGGCTATAAAACGTAAAAATCTTCGATAATTTTTTTTTTGGAGTTTTTCAAATATTCTCATTTGCACTTTCTAAAGTCCAAGTTTTAGTAAGACTCTTGCGACGTTTATGATTGTGCTATTAAACAATTGCTGGCAAGCCGCATTACTGGAAGATATTGACATTAAAGGTAACGAAATAAATGCTAATTTTTCATTTTTTTTTTTTTTTTTTTTTTTTTAAATTTATTGACATATTTCTTTAATTACGATTATTATATCTTTAAGATCAATTGGTTTTGCTTTATTGCATTATAGTACCCTCAAGAATTTTAAATATAATTCTATCGCTCATCCCAATTGCTAGAATTTCTGCAAGACTATATTAATATAACTCGTAGAATCAGATATCTAAAAAGATAATAAAGTATTGTAATATAGATCTTATACTGGATTCTCCTCATCAACTGATTCTTCTTATGGGCCTCATATTTAGATATAGTATCAGCTTTTCATAACCGTAATTATTGGTCATGTTCCTTCGTCGTCATCCTTGGTACAAGTCACAATCAAAATGATGAAAAGGACATATAAATACTTAATGAAATCTTTGCTGAGATTATACATTGCTAATTCTGCATCAAAATCTATAAACTGGACATTTAGAGACTTAAAATTGCACCGGAATTTGGATTTGGTGTTAGATTACACTTCATAAAAAGTGTTTGGATTAGTGTGTTTAAAAGTATTGTTGCTTGATACTTTATCAGGATCAGGCACAGATGCTTAGCTCGTGCCACGTCTAGTTGTAATGATGGTTTGTGCGCATATTATTATTATTATCATTATTTGCAAAGTGTATTTTAATAAATTTGATCAATTTTAATACATGGATCTAGTGTCGCATATCTTACTTCTATCATGGTTCCTGAACTTCTTCACGAACTATTATCAAAATGGCTTTTGTATAAGAACTTTTAAAGAAGTGTGATCAAGTTGTAGAAATTTTTGTTTCAGAACCTCCAAACATTTTCCCCTTATCGAACTATTTCAGATGTTGGAAATCCTGGCGTTCTCGTGTAATTACTTTTGGAATATGTTAACTATAGTATCAAATTTTTATTTAAGAGGGTCAATTTGCAGGAGGTTTAGACGATAGTTCAATAGGTGCATTATCTGAACGAGGTATTATATTAATCAAGTTTCACGGAATTCATCAACAAGATGATCTTTATGAAACAAAAGCTAAAGCTTGGGAAATTTATGGTTTTGGAAGACTTATCAATGCTTAACATGGATGAGATCACGGAAATGTATTGTTGAAATACTCAATTGAACAAGCGTAGTTGGTTATTAAAGCTGGTGCTAATTATTATGATAAGTTAGGATATTCAATTGATTAAATTTACCAATAATTTATATATTGGTGCGCAAAGTCCAATGTTAATAACCAACCCTTTATTGACTGCGCTTACTTAGGTGCAGCTTTGGTTCACAATGAGCCATCAACCTCTCTAATTGGGAGTTATTCTGATGATTTTTCAATCGTGGGGTATCGATTTCAATCATAACGTTAGCGCCGCCTATGATCCTTACAAAATTCATCACGAAGATTTAACATAATCTGAATTCGAGAATGATATTTCCAATCATTGGACGGCAATCTGGTAATTATTTCACCTTTGGTTTCTTGGGGGGACTAGTCCTTCACAATTCAGGACTCGCAGGTGATCCTATCATTGCATCTAACATCAATTGGCGGTTGGCGCCAATCAATTTCATATTATTTTGGACTTTTTTATCTTGAATCTTAGGGTTTATAGAACAACATGTACCGTAATGGTTGATGAAGAAACCCTTTGTCCTCTCAAATTGAAAAACCTCAACCATCAAATAATCTCAATGAGTGTAAAGAAGATTTAACCGTAAATTATTATTTGCGTGTTATGATAATTGTCGCGGTTTTTTCTTGCTTATTAGTCCGGAACGAAGTGAGGGATTTAGCCAATTTGATGTCCCGATGTCCGCCCGCTCAATAATTGAGTCGATTCTGGTTGGTGATGAAAATATTCCTCTGTCCGCCTGCTCAAAATTTGAGTCGATACGTGGTTGGTCCCTTCCGTTTCCGGACTTAACAATGGTTTCCGAAACCGTTCCCTTATATAGAGAAGAGACTGTCGTATACTCCTAATTGAGAAAAAAAAAATTTTTTTTTCGTCATAACACCAATACTCGAGAACAGTTACAAACTACTAGGACCATAGCATCGATCTTCAAGAAAGATTGTATTATGGATGGAGTCAGCATTAAATTTAGAAATTCCTGCATTGAAATTTTAGACAATGGATTATAAGGGAGTTGATATTATCGGTGGTGGCGATGTGCTTGATTCAGTTTAAGATTGTACTGCAATAGATGCTAATCATTGGACCAGATAACATTGGAATTTTAAAGTTTTATAAGTGAAAGTACAACTTCGAATGGTAAAATAATAATCTATTTACTGTATATTTCCCTTTATCTCATTATAATGTATTAATGCTGTCTTTTATCATAGGGTTAGATGGCATCATTTTCGCTAATACAATAATATACATGGGTGTCAAAGAATCTGGATGTTTGATAAGGAAAAATTACAATTTTAAAATTGCTTATGATTTAGTTTCTCTCAACTTCACCATTCATAGAGTCAAAAAGATAGAAAAGATTCTTAATATTTTTGTATTTACGTCATCATAAGCAATACGTGTAAATTGAAATTGGAGAAAAAAATACCAATCGTATTGTTCTTACCTCATTATTTTTCGGTGCTGAATCTGATTCCTTGTCATCGATCTCTGTCATTTTAATGTCATCAGCCGCTTGGGTAGCTTCATTCGTATCATAAATGTACTTAAGCACGTAATTCAAATTACATATTTCCAGTCAGTGAAGATATTGGCATTTCCAGAAATTGGCTACTTAGATGGCTGAAAATGAAGACCAATAATCCATCCATCACCTGGTAGAGCTTTTTTTTTATTTGTCTTGTTTATTAATGCTAACATTCCGAACCTTCACTTCGAAATGCTTTCTGGTATTTAAACAAGCGTGACCGTAATTTTTCAACATCTTGTATCTAATACCAAAATTAGTGTATGGAACAACAGATACAGAAATGGGTTTCTTATTTTATTTTTTCATCACTTCCTTCTACATCGCATTCTTACCATGTATAGTATACAAAATGTTTAATTGCTCGTTGTCAACAAGAATTTTTTATGTGGCATTGATAATATTAATTATAGTGGATTGGCTGAGACTTAATATTAGAGAAGTAAAATTTCATGGGAAGGATGCGGAACATATAGGAGATATATCAAGCTTAGAAAAACTAGCGTTATTGGGTAAATTTTATAAAGAATTGGTTTAGCAATAAGATCCATAAGGTAATACAATACTGGCGATTTAGGAAGCTATAGTCAAGGAAATGGTATAATAATATTTTTTGTTATCATAATAATTCGCGTGGTTTAAAGTCTTAAAAATTTCATTCTCATTTTCATTTTTTTTTTTTTAAAAAAAAAAAAACCTAGTTAAAAGAGCCGATGATCAAAAAAAAAAAAAAAAATCGAGGATTTAGGACTACTGAACTTGTTGAGATAGGTAGTTCGTAGAGATAAATACGAGGAATAGACTCTTGTCAGTTATTTTGTTCCTATAGAAGGAAATGAACTGTCATATTTTGTGAGTTCTATTTAAGAAACGGGAACTACAGTTGGCAAGCACAAAAATCATAGATGTATCAAACAAATAAGTGAATATTTGAAAATGAAATTTCAAGTTATAACGTCATCAATGGTAATAAGTTGCAAAAAATATTTATTTTTCTTTCTTTATAACATAGATAATTAATAAATTTGTATTATTATTTGTTCCCCCCTAGTAAAATGCTATTGACACAAAATAGAGAAGCATGTCTTTACCGAATTATCACAGTCAACTATTGGAGCTAATTCGAACAGTCTATCCATGATATTTGGACACAACCTTTTTCAAATCTTATATATATATACTGTTTAATTTTTTGATCTTGGTGGAAATTCAATTGAAGCAACAAGATTAATTTTTGAACTTGTGTGTTTACATTCCTTTAGGAATTGTCTTTGCAGAACGTGGTGATATCGTGATTCATAATGGAAAACTTGTATATATGCATTTGCATTATATATACATTTTGTTGGAAATTGTTCTATCATATTATCTTTATCTAAATCCTAGAGTAGCGAAATGTCCTTGGAACTCTAAGCGTTAAAACTTGCCTTAGTAAAACCTTTACTAGATGATAGTGTAAAAAAAGCTGAGGTTTGGAAATGCTTTCCCGAGTTAGAGTTTTGGAGGACTCAACAATGTTTAGCACGAATGGATGGATTGTTGAAACTATAAAACCGGACAAGCGTAGTTGCAGTGAATTAGAGATTGTGCTAATTTATTGTAATTGGTTAGTTTATATCAATTGTTATACAAATCATCCTTGATGATGAACAATATTCAAATCATTTTAGCTATTAGTTGTTGTTGTACTACGTACATACATGTATATCCAAGAAAATTTAAAATTAGTTGAGAAATTTTACAAGTGGAGTACTGTAGCTCCGAATGGTAAATAAAAATATATTTATATTTCTCTTTATATTCATTATAATGTTGTTCTTTTGATTATGGGGCGGTTAAGAAGCATCATTTTTTCACTATTACATTATTATTCATGAATGTACAAGACTTTGGCTTTCTGATAAGGAAAATTTTACAATGTTGAATTCACTCATGATCTCATTTAGTGTGATAGTAAGTTTGAAATTCTATCTGATTTTAATTTTCGCATGGTGTTTAGTTTCTTATTTCTGAGGCTGCTTGAATGGCTGAAAATGAAAACACGAAATTCATTTTATCACCTGGTTTATCTTGAAATTTACTTGTAAGTTCAACTTCTACCGAACATTAATTATATTAATTTAAATGATTTATTTATTAAATGAAAATTAAGAGGGTAGGAGATAAGGATTAGAAAATAAGAGTTTATGATTTAGAGATGTTTTATTTTGATAATAAACACGGTCTTGAAATATAACGATCATAAATATAACAAATATAATAACAAATATATAAACTAATAACTAATATAAAATTAATAGGATTAGAAAATAAGAGTTTATGATTTAGAGATGCTTTTATTTTGATAATAAACACTATCATAAATAGGATTTTTAACAATCAGAACATTAAAGAATAAGAAGAATAGGATAAGACTATCACTCCATCATCCTATTTAAAAATTGAAGGACAAGTCAATCTTTTCATTATCACTTTCTAGGTTTATTTTCGAAAAGCTGCTCCATTCTATTCGTCTTTTATTCTCTTCATCGTTTTCATCATCCTTTCAAGAACCATTATCCTTTTCAACTTCTTTCTAAACGATTGTTTTCTCTGGTTTTGAAAATTATAGAAGTCATAAATAGGAAAGTCTTAAAATAGGTAAGGTCCGAGTATTTAACTTTTTTTTTATTGATAAAATCCCGATTCGTCGCATTTTAATTGCGGTTAACGATTATTAATTTATATTTATTAATAAAATTTATTTAAATCATTTATTTATGGGTTATGTAATTTATTGACCGATCAGTTCACGTGATAGAACTATAAACACGTGACTAATATTCTTCCTTTGATTGGATGAAAAATTTTATATTAAAATCATCTGGATTAATTAATGTCAAACTAGTTAATTAATGTCGAATCACATAGTTACAATAGTAAAGAAAGTAAATAAGCACTAAGAAGTTTTATTTACTAAGCATTACAATTTTTCTAGTAATGTTCTAAAATTACCATACTTTTTAATATAACTTTCATTATTTTATATTTTTATTCTAATTCTTCTCATTAATGCTTTATACTTTTTTGTTTTTCTTTATCATATTTTATCTTTGACTTTTTAGCTGAAATATGTTTACATTTTTTTTATTACTATTATATTCTTTCTTACCTATTCTTTTGTTTTTAAATTTAAATTCATTATCTTTATTAATAAAATTCTTTAAAATTTTAATCAAATGCAATAAATTTATTTTCATTTGTAAAACTTTTCATATAACTTTTTATATGTTTCATAAAGTGTACTATAAATGATTTTCATCAAGAAATTTATCTAGTATTTAAAAAGGTTTTCCTTTTCTTTTATCAATAATACAAAAGTGAGTAAAATTACTACTTTTTTATTATTATATTACAAAAAATGTTTTATATAATATATTCTTATATTTTTAATACCATCTAGATAGAATAAGTTAAATATAAAATTTAGTTTTACAAGCATTTAATATTATCTGAAAATAAGATTACTTATTTAAACTTATTTTAAATTTAACAAAATATCTAATTTTAATTTCACTAATTTTTTACTAAAGTTTTAATATAATTTTAATTTTTCTGAATTTTACAGATTTTTAATAGTTTTAATATAACTTTACTAAATTTTACAATTTATCATTTAAATAAATTAATATATGCAAACTATTTTTTTTTTAAATAATCATAAAATAAAAAAAAATATTTAAATATTATTTTTAAAAAAATAATATTATATTTTATCATTAGTGAATTTCTAACTTTTATTGCAAATTTTAATATCTGTTCTTATTATATTATTTATTAAGTGATTTATGTATTTATAATATTAATTTGTATAAAAAGATATTAGAATTAAAAAGCATTCTTTTGATACATGTATTTACAGATTTACATGAGATAAACTATTATTTTTTTAATAAATCTAAATTTATATAAGAATATATCTAGTGATCCTTTGATTTATATAATGCTTTAAATAATTTTTACTTTAAATAATCTTCAATCGGTTTTATAAAATAATTATGAAATATAATTAAATAAGTCTATTTTTACACTAATAAAAATCTTGAAGAAAATTTTATAATTATCTTTAAAAGATTTTTATGAAAGATTATTTGCTTTTATCTATAATTAAACTCTATACAAAAATAATATTTTATATATTTTGATCAAATTTATAAAAAAATAATGTCATCTTATATCAGTTAATTTTATGTGTAATGTTATTGATAATATAATTATTAAATTAAATCCAATTTTCTATCTAATTTAGTGTTATTCATAGTAAATATATTAATATATTATCATCATTCTATTCTTGTATTATAATCTATCTAAAATCTCACTCTTTTGTTTATTAAGTTAATCAGATATTTGTACAGTATTATTTGAAAGTAACTTTACTGTAAAATTTTTGATTATTGCATATATATCTTATCTAAAAATACATAGTAAAGATATTTGCTTTTCAAAAATATCTTCTCTATATTATTGCTTTTATTTTACAATTTTATGCTAAAAATTAAATATTATTTATTATTTTATTATTAAACTTTTTATCTTCTTTAAATATAATTACTTTAATATTCTGATTATAATTATATTTATTTATAATTTTATTAATAAAAAATTGTAAAAATCTGAATTATTTTATTTTAAAACAAAAAACATTAATATTTTTATAGATACAACATTTTTTGATGCTAGTTTCTTTCATAGATTTAGATTTATATTTTCTTTTATACTCATATAATAAAATAATTATAATAATTTTTTTAAAGATTAATTTTTTTAATATTTAAATTTAAAATTATCTTTTAATAAAATTAATATAATAATATCTTGGTAAAATTTTAAATGTTATAAAATTAGTTTAATAAAATCTTATAATAATAAATTTTTATATATTTTATAATAATAAATATTATAAAATAATAAAATTTTAAATAGAAAATTTTAGTAACATCTTATTATTCATAAAATTAGAACAATTTATTGGTTAGAAATATTTATTATAGTGTTAGTCAATTGGACAATTTTGAACAGTTTTGAACAGTTTTGGATAGGTTTTGAATACTTTTTTCTATGTCTAAAACCTTGTTTAAAACTTTTAAAATCTAAAACTGTGTTCAAAACCTATTACTGATTTACTATACAGTCAACTCTTGATATAGCAAACTCTTAATATAACGAATTTTTTGAACAAATATAATAAAAATACTCTTGTTATAGCGAATTGGCTAATCAAATCTCTTAAAATCTTCACTATAGCCTTATAGCGAAGTTGAGGTCTAGAACATTGAGTTTGTTATAACAAGAGTTGACTGTAATGTAGTATTTGATTAATATTTATCAAAATCAATTTTTTTATTCTATAAGATGATTTTAATAGCTTAATTTATATATAATGATTCTTAGTATTTTTATAAAGAATATTATTGATATTTAATTCTAAAATTTTAATAAATAGATTAATTTGTATTTTAAAATTTTGCTAATTACATTTATTATATAATATTATTATAATAAATTTTTTTTTTTAGTAGAAAAATTTGTAAAAATCTTATTTTTTAGATTGTAATATTAAATGATATGTTATTTTTACTTTTTTTATTTAATAATAATATTGTATTAACTAATTAATTAATTGAAATATCTTCTTGAACTAATTAAAATTTTTATTTATTATTATTAAAAAAGACTGATTATAATGTTAATAAAATTATAAAAAATAATTTTTTATTATTTGTATTACAAACATCTAAATTATATATTATTAAATAATAATTTTATTTTAAGTAAGAAATATAGAATCCTATTCCTTAAATGGTAAGGATTTTTGATTTAAATTTTGAATTTTATTTAATATGATTTTATCAAAAAAATTTCAAACATTTGATCTTAATAATTTTAAAATTGACTTTAATCAACAAGGAGAATTATAGGTAATAATTTATTTGAAAGAAATTCTCATAACTTTTAAGAAGCTTTTAATTTGAATATAAATTTATTTTTTACGAGATTAAGTTTTTATAAAATTGATCGACCAGTTATTGTCATTACTGTAATTTAATGTAATGATTAAACCGAAAAGATAAAACCAAAAAAAAAAAATATAAACCGGTTAGTTAACCAAATTTTAATTAATTTTATTACCATCCTTAGGATAAAAAGACGTAACGCGTCCCATATCACATGATCTGCGACTAATTTCATTGTCTCACGATAAAACTAAATTGATTGGTGCTTTTTATTTTTTATATGAATTTTTTTATATATTTAAGGAAATTTCACTTCCTTTTTACCAAACTTTATTTTCTGACTTTTCTCTGACAAAACTCAAAAGACAAGAAATTAAGAACGATAAAAAAAAAATTGATTTTTTGAGTACAATAAATATACTTTGAGCAAGGTTAGTTTATTCGTAAGAAATAAGAAAATGTTGTTATAATACTTTTCAATAAACTTAAATCTCTTTTTTTTTGTATATTTTGTATAGGAACTAAGACCAAAAAATTCATCGTTGACCGTTTGTACATTAACACTTGAAAATTAATTTTTGTCAATCAAAAAAATAAACCTAATTTTAATTTGATATTGGTAAGAATCCATTACAATTAAATATGCCAAATATTTATTGAATGATGACCATGTGATTAAAAACAAAAAAATATTTTGGTTACGTTTGCGTTTTATCAAATTCTTTTTAGTCACAATGGGAAAAGTAACAAAAAAAGATGCCAACAATACTCAACAAAATGATCAAAACAAAAAGAAAAGAAAAGGAAGGGATTTAAATATAGATGATCGTTCTGTAAGGCGACCAAAGGTTATTTCTATACGACGAAATGAGATCCCGATGCTGCCGGAGATCCATATTCCTTCAAAACCGATTCCTTTATTAACGTCAAGTAATAAATATAAATCGGTGAAGATGCCACTACAAAATGATCAAAATGATCAGACATTTTCAAATGAAGCACAATCAAATAATCTGGCACCTTCAAATGATATGTTACTTTCAGATGATCCGTCCCTTTCGAATGACCAGGCACGTTCGTGTGATCAGGCACGTTCGGATAATCAGGCACTTTCGGATAATCAAGCACTTTCGGAAAATCAAGCACTTTCGGATAATCAAGCACTTTCGGATGATCAGGAACTTTCGGATGACCAGGCAAATTCGAATGGTCAGGCACGTTCGAATGGTCAGGCACTTTGGAATGATCAGGCATTTTGGAATGATCAGGCATATTGGAATAGTTTTCTGGCACGTTATCAGGCACATTCGTATGATCAGGCAAGTTTGAATCTACTACGTCAACCACTTTCAGATGATCAACCACGTCCAGATGATCAATCACGTTCAAATGATCAACCACGTCCACCACGTCAACCCCGTTCAGACGATCAACCACGTCCAGATGATCAACCACATCCAGATAATCAACCACGTCCAGATAATCAATCGCCTTCAAATGGTCAAACGCCTTCAAATGATCAAGCACGTTCTACAACAGTCACAACCAGCTCAAGGATTACGATTACAATGACAAGCATCACCACAAACGATAATGTTCGTTCCAATACAACAACTTATGTTACAACTGAAATCTTACCTGCATAATAAGAAAATGATACTTTACGTAACATTTATGGTTGTAGATAATGCATCAGATTTTTTTATGCAACGTTTTCACATTGAATTATCAAAAAATAGAGTGTGAATTCATTAGTTTTGTCCTTATGATGAAGGGCTAGAAAAAATAAACCAATTCTTGTTCTAATAGTTTAAATCAAGAATTCAGCGTTATAATCCAATCATCTGTATATTTTTTATTTTTATTTTTTTTTTTTGCACTTTAAAACCTTGCAATAAAATTATCAATAATAACAAGCTCAAACTGATTTATAACATCAGTTTCTTTTTTTAAAGCTGAAATTCGTATAGTCTATTACATTATTGTGACATCATCATTTAAAACCCGCGAATATAAATCACGTGAAGATAAAAAATAAATATTTATTATAAATATCTTTATTATTTACTTTAGCATACTAAAAGGACATTTGGGCGCTTATACTTATATTATGGTTTAGGACCAACAGGTTTTGCGGATATAATTCTATCGCTCATCCCAATCGCTGGAATGCAAAGACCAAGAAAGAATAACTCGTAAAAAAGCACGTAATATTCTTAATGAATCTTATATTAGAGTCTCATCATAAATTGATCCGCCATTAAAACAACAACGAATAGAAGCAACTATATAAGATTACATATCTTCCTTGTTCTGATCAACATTTGTTTGCCGTATTTATTTAAAACGTAATTCAAGTGATGCAGTAGTTACAGTTATTTTTGATATTCTATCGCGTTGATCTTTGTATATTTGATAAGAATTTTACAAAATAAAGGCTTGAATAATTCTAAAAATCTAATAGTTTAAGAAAGAAATTAAACAAATATTTCACTTAATGAGTTTTTTTTTTTTTTGGTTATACTTACTAAATAAAGAAAAAATAATTAGGGTAAAGCCTTTTTAGAAACAAATATGAAAAACACATTTCTATATAATTCTAAATTTATCTAATAATCAATATACATTAGTAAAAGATATTTCTTTTATTTTTATCTAATTTTATTTATAAATATGTATTTTATGAATTTCTGCAACCAATCGGAATAAGCTGATCTGCATAAAAATGATTATATGAGAGTCAAAATTTTTCAGAACCTGATTTTCTAGCAATTTTCCCATATCATCTTTAGGAAAATTGATCATAAATAAATTATAACAACGCAACCAGTTGAGTTAATTTCAACAATCCATTTCCATGATTTCATGTTACTCATTGGTGAGTCCCCAAGACCTTTAAGGTAAAAAAGAAAACATTTTTAATACAATAAATATGATATTTTTATTTTTATAATCATTTTTATTTTTAACTCTTTTATTAAATATAATTGTTTGTTTAAAGACAAGAATAATATCTTCGCTAATCGAAGAACTCATGCTACTCGCAAAGAAGTGGCAAGAAAACTTGTCCAGATAGATTTCGATCAAGAGGATTTAAACCTCGAAATCTTCTTTGAATGAGTGGATAGCTCATACTACTCGCGAGTAAATTTGTGAAATTAGATTTCGAAGAGGATGAAGACCTCGAAATCTTCTTCGAATGGGTGGATAACTCATACTACTCGCGAAGAAGTGGCTAGAAAATTTGTGAAACTAGATTTCGAGGAGGATGAAGACCTCGAAATCTTCTTCGAATGGGTGGATAATTTGAATATACAGTAGGTGTATTCATTATTACCTTTCATAAACGTTCATTTAACTTCAATTGTTAGTCTAACTTTTATTAATTATTTCCAGAATTATCATACAAAAATCTTCTTTGAATGAGTGGATAACTCATAATACTCGCGAAGAAGTGGCGAGAAAATTTGTGAAGCTAGATTTCGAAGAGGATGAAGACCTCGAAATCTTCTTCGAATGGTGGATAATTTGAATATACAGTAGGTGTATTCATTAATTACCTTTCATAAACGTTCCTTTAACTTCAATTGTTAGTCTAATTTTTATTAATTATTTCCAGAATTATCATACAAATCATATTTGATTAAAAATCGACCGACGATTCTAACCTACTCCATGAACAAACCGAATAATCTCGGTCGCGTAGAATTGGAGAAACTGTCATCGAGTAAAGAACTAGTGTGTTTCCAGTTAAATGTCTGGAAATCAGTTGGGCAGTTGTCTATGATCTTTGACAGCTGCCGACATCTGGAAGAAATTGGTGGGGCTTGTAATTATTTGAATTTTTTGAAGTTTTGTAGAACTAGAAAATAATTTAGTAGACCATTAATTAAATACACATTTTTTTATTAGTATCAAACTGAATTAAATGACAAACTTAAACTCTTTAATAATAGAACCACTTTCATTTAAAATTTTACTTGACTGAATCGAATTATAATCTTTATTACATTAATTTAATAATAAACCTAATGTTAACTCTACTTGTGTTGACCAAAAAAAAAACATCATTTCCAAACAATTACTTCTCTTGTTTGACCGATCTGAAGTCAAGACTTCGTTAGAACCAAAAGTAAAATATTTCACATTCCAGATTTTATACTCCGTGTCACGTGTTTTTTCCTGCTATTGAGGTTGTAAATTATCGCTGCTACATGAGACGTTACCAATGTTTAATGAAATTGGGATGATTAAATAAAGGTTTCTCACCTTGTAATCCCAAAATCTTTGAAATTTGCTTTATCATCATCATATGAAAAAAATATCCTCTCCACATTTTAAACCTGACAGAAAGCAAATGGATCGATCAAGAACGTCTTTCGTTTCTCTTATCCACAAAGTGTCATCCATTAGGCGAGTGAGTCAAGGGTATTTTGTCGAGGTTTTGTTGATCTTCCCAAATCATGGGTATCGTAACCCGACAAACGGAGATCCCTTCCCTTAAGGAGTTTGGTAATGTTGGTAAGATTGTTATTTGAGTTTCAAAGCAATACCGTTTTATTAAAGAGTCTGTAATGTTGGTAAGCTTGTTATTTGAGTGTGTTGTGTCTCGAACTTTTAAGGTATGTGAACCTTTGCATTTAGACGACGGGTTATTAAAAAAAATGTAAAAGCGGAAGGATTTAAGTAATATTTCAACTTAGAAATTAGTTATTTTTGTATTTTAAGAATTGACATAATAAATATGATCACTATTTGAATAAATAAATTCTTACCGATAAATTTCAAAAGCCGAAAACGCTTATAAAGATTACTTAACTTTCCTCTTTAAAAAATTTTTTAATTTTGAAAATGGAACCTACAAAAAAAAAAATTTTTATTTAAGTAATACAATAAAATAAGCAACATCATATATATTTTTCGCGTCTTTGCATCCCTGTATCAATGGAAACGTACAAAGGTTGAAAAATTTACGACTAAAATCTTTTATAATTAAAACTTCTTTGATGCACTTCTTACCCTTTTCCAGACTAGAACTAAAGCCTATTCTCTACATTCTGGTGAATTAGTGATCAGCAACCATCTATTGTAACTAATCATTTAGGTTCGTGGATAATATTGAGATTGCTTATAAATGAACCTATCGTCCAGCAGAAAATCACTCGTTTACGGGTATACAACTTCAACTTATATTCTTTAGGGTTAAATATCGTCTAGCGATTTATTTGGTAGATATTCATCTTTTCCTCCTCTCAGTTTCTACCTGATTTAATAATTCTTCAATGAAACGTCGAGGTAGACTAGTAAAGAAGCTTTGTAAGTAGTCCAAAGTATTGTTGTGGTTAAAATTTTTAATAATTTCGTTTATTATTAATTAATCTATTGGATCATATGACTGAAGCAATATTCTACGCGCATGGATCGTGATGCTGGAATATTTAAGCAATCCTTCACATTTATGATCGGGGGGAATAGTGGATTACATCCACCTCAAGAATTGTAAAACGCTTTGAGATTGATGTTTCCAGCAAGCCCGGAAAGTTCACCCCAGGTGCGTGCGTCTTGGTTTCGCGCTTAGATCTTTTCGATATATCATGAACGCGTTTTTGGGACTTGGAATTGTCCCGTTGCGTCGTCTTCGTGAATCCTTCTGATCTAATGAATTCGTACATCCTCTTTTGCCAAAGATTTCCTTTCTTTATATCCATACACATGTATAATTTTAGTATTAGGTACAAGATGTTGAAAACGTATTTCGAAGTGAGGTATCTGAATGCTAG